AATGAAATTTCCCACTGAGCCTGAACTAATCGTTTGTCTTCCCCTCACCTTCCAGTTCCGGCTGAGCAGAGTTCAGAGCAACACTGCACCGTGCTTAATCTCTTCAATAAAACCTGGTAAACCTTTCCCCTGGTCTCTCTGAAGTGGTTTCTCTGCATGTGAGTCCGAGCTTTAGATAAAATCATGACACTTAGTTTAAAAAAGTTAACCATGTCAGTCCCTCTATTGGCTCTGTTGTAAAGAAAAAAATTGTTTCTTTCACTCTGAGTGTTTTTCCTTCATTTCTTATAGAAATGGTTTTGTTATTTTTCTTAATATATTAGAACAAGGGGCAGTTTCTTTTTATTACATTGACCTTAATTTTTTCCATGAAAATATACTAATTTATTGAATGTTACCTAAGTAGTAAGGTCTTGTTCTGTCCTACAATAATACTCTTGGCTTAAAAGTTTGATTTTCAAAGTATTTCACTGAGTCAGTCCAAAAAAGTAAAAAAAAAAAAAAAAAAAAAAAAAAAAAAAACTTTGTTTCAAGATGTTTTGCTTCCCAGCCATGAATCTTTTTCAATTCAAAATGTCAGAATATAGAGTGGACCAACAAAGCCTTGTTTTTGTTTAGAAAACATGCAAATAGAAACAGATGAACGGGTCCAACCCTTTGGAATGGGGGTCATTTGGCTTCTTTGTTAGCCTGCAATGCCCCATACCTGTCTATGTCTCTGAAAGGGGGGTCGTTAAAGAGAATAGTTGGCCTGCCTGAATAGGCGAGGTCTTCTGTTTCCCTGTAAAGGACTTGGGGCGATGATAGCGGGAAGGAATCTATCTCTGCATTGTAGCTTTATGAAAGCTGAAACCTGAGTCCCCCGCCCCTCTGTTTAAGGTTAGTTTTTCTTTCTTAACAAAGATGGCTTCCTTCACGCCCCTCTCAAACCACCTGTCATCTTTGTCCAAAATGTGAACATTCTGGTCCTCAAAAGAATGTCCTTTGTCTAGACCAAAACAAGGCTTTGTCTGTCCACTCTATAAAACCTCGAACTCAACTCCATTTCTGAAATTGAACCTGTTGGACCTGTTCGTCATTTAAGAGCTTTAAGAGCTGGTTACCATTCTGACAATTAATTTATGTGCATAGGTTGATCCCTTGCGACCCCAGCAGGAATAAAACATGACGGAATATGGATGGATGGATGGATGTTTATCTTCATTAAAATAATCACTTAAAAATCCCTAAAATCAGATTTTTTTTTTGTGTGTGACATTTTTGTGAAAATCCTGATTTGATTACAGCCACGATCAGAACCCAGGACACGGGAAAAATGAAGAAAACATTTTCCCCATGAAGAGTGTTTTAACTTAAAAGTTTGACATTAGGAGTAAAAGTGGAAGAAAATCTTCAGAGCTGCTGATATAAAGAGAGGAAACCAGCTTTCTTCGTCATATTTTGATTTTTCAGATCACTGATGTGGTGAACTTGAGGTGTGGAAAGAGTCACACTGTTACGGATGGTGGAGTTTGGTACGTTTAATTGATATAACCCTCTGAATGAAGTAACATTTACAATTAAAAACAGCTCAATCAAAAGAGGATTATTTTTCCTTGAAGCAGAAATGTTGATAAAGGTTCTTTGCAGTTAATTGAATAAAGATCAGCCTCTTCAGACCCATTCTTTCAAAAGATGTATGGCAGAGACATTTTTTAACCAAAAAGGGACACTCTAATGATTTTTGATATTATTAATTTCTTTTAATATTATTTTTTAGGTTCTAGCTGCCTTTATTTTGTTGCTATTGAAAGTATGGAGACAGGAAAGTGGGCTAGAAGAGAGGAAAGAGACATTCAGCAAAGGACACCAGGGCAAGGATTTGAACCTGTAACAGCCAATACATGGCCGTTATATGGGTCAATATTCAGGGCAGCAACCTGAATATTGATCATTTCTCATCATTTTGGTAATAATATCAGCAGAAGAGCCGCTCTCTATATTCTAAAATAACCCTGAAGCTATTATTTCTGATACTTTCATTCTTAAGACGTATTGCAGAAACGTAGGTCCAGTTTCATGTTGAGTTTTAAAGTAGAGGAAGGCAATGAGAGGAAGAGGAGGTAGAGATGTTATTAGTAGGAACCAACCTGTAATGTAGACTTGGCAAAGCGAGAGAATGGGTGTCTATCAATGTCCAGAGGAAGGCTGAGCCTATGTTGTGCCTTCACCTTCGGAGGTGCAACTTCTGTAACACGTGACCCAAGCTGGCCCCCTGGTGGACAAAAAAAACAACAACATCAGTCTACAAGCACATCTACAATCTAATCTATGGCGGTATATTGAAATACCCCGAGACATGATTAGAAAAAAGGAAGGGCAGAAGGCAACAGGTTCTGAGGAACAGCAAACATCCCCTGTGGAAGGCCGAATTTATGACCCAAAAGGGGTTCTGTGGTCTGAGATCAGGTTAAATAGGGCTAGTCAGGAGCCCACTGGCCAGTAGCCCACTGGCCAGTAGCCCACTGGCCAGTAGCCCACTGGCCAGGAACCTGGCCAAAAGGGCGACTAACACAGGGGGTAATTCAGCCTGATAAGGCAACTGTGCTTTTCTGTAACTATAACAGTTAAGATATCAGCCACAACCGAGCGTTGTTTTAATAATACATGCCAGTGCAAATTCTTACTCATCTGGATCATGGTAACAACAAAACAGGTTTAAATCAGAGGAAACTTTCTCCATGAGTCTTTGTCAATTTTTTCAGTTCGCTCCACAGCAATAGAGCGCTGATGTTTTTAGGCAGCATGAAGGTCCATCCTCCTAAGCTTGTTCCAAATGAATCAAAAACCCGCCCTTCGTTCTCCTGGGTTGTTGGAGTCCTGTTATATGTACGGGGCTTTTGTTTTTCAGCCATTTAAATCACAATCTTTCAAACCATTCGTACAGCGGAATCTAACCCAGAGCAGAAGAGGAGAGGCAGCAACTCTGGGCTGGATTCAGTTTTACATGTGCACCTTAAGAGCAAAGGACACACCTTTGACGTTCAGGTCTTGGACAGAGAAGACAGATAGTTTGAAAGAGGGGTGAAGGAAGCCGGATTTGTTAAAAAGGAAAATCCATCACTGAACAGAGAGGGAGGATGGAACTCATTTCAAAATAAATGACAACCCTGCAGAGGGAGAGCTGGGTCTTTGATTGGCATCGGACTCGGATAGCCCTCCATGATGCTCCAACATCAGCGCTCCAACAGACCTGACAAAGACTCCTGGATAGGAAACGTGGTCAGAAACACTGGGTGAACATGCAGTTGCCCTTAAAATTCAAATCTGTTCTGAGGTTTTAATGATCCACTTTATTATGTCTGAAAGGAGGATGATATACCTTTTACAATGTCAACAGCTGGCTGCTATAAGAGCTTTTCTTAACGATGGATAACGGTCCATTACAGTCTGGGTGATACCAATAGCTGCTTAAATGAGACGCCTTTAAAGGCACAAACAGATTTCTTTTTCTCTGTCCAAAAACAATGTGGAAAATATTCAGAAACTCATTTTTAACTCTTTTTCTCAATAGGTGACATAACGGACCCAGTACTGCAGTAAAAAGACGATAAATTGATTGATCTTGTTTAGCAAAAAAACAATGACTAAAAAACCACTGTGAGTCTTCAGGATCCAACAAACAGAAATGAACTTCTAAAAATACAATTCTGCAGTTTTAGATCAGGGTACTTCGGGCCATCGGTACACTTAGTGGCTTCAGAAGTACACAGAACACAATAATACTGCATAGAAATTTGCTAATATTCATTAATGTTTTGATAAAGGGAACTATAGATACAGTAGGAAACATATTGGTTATTTGAGTTTTACTAATATTTGTTAGAGCTTACATTTCAATTTTGAAGGAAAAATAATTAATAAGCCCAGATGTGTGTTTTTTGGTGGTATTATATAAATCTTACATAACTTGTGCCCAGTGCTGTTTTATAGCCTTTTTTTATGATTCCTGGTTTTTTTAAACTTACCTGCTCCGCTGCGGAGTCTGGCGGACAGCTCAGCAGGGATCTCTAACATCCCCACGTCCTACAGTAAGGAAAACATTGCATCTAGTTATCAAAGTTGGAAACAAAACGATCATGAATCATTATTACAGCAGAGAAATATCAGGCCTTACCATCCCTGACGAGATGAGTTTGGTCGTTCTAGATTCTTTAACTTTGTCCTTCTTGTGATTTTCCTGAAATCAACACACAGGAATCCTCAGTTTGTCATCTTAAATCTTGCTTTTTCCTCTTAAACTTGCTGCCATCCCCGTTTAGGCTCCTTATGCCAGATATCACAATGTTGGTGTACTTTCCTATTACCGTCCGAGGAGTGTTTTCAATCAAGGCTATTCTTAGAAGCACGTCCTGTTATATACTTGTGTTACACCCATATCGCTATAGGCCGTCCTCACACCTCAAGCTAGGCCGTTCCAAGAGTCCACGGAGGTGGTGGTTTATCAGGAGGTTTTACGAGTCCCAGAAAGAACAATCTACGATGCGTCAGGATAGCTCAGCCCACTCAGGTTATGACAACGTCAGCAAATATCAAACACAGGTTTTATCCTAAATTTACAGTGTTTGGACTTTTTCTAACGTTCTCAGTCAGATTGTTTTCACTTCTGTGAGTGTTGGATAATAGTATTTGATGAATGATTCAATATTTGCACACCATAATATGAATCCGTAACGATTATATATCTGGGTGTGTGCTCCTGTCAGTGAAGAAACGCTCATGTAAAAAGCATCTACTTGACAACAGTTCTCACAAACAAAGGTGTTTCTGAGGTAACTGACTGCCTCTCTAACCTGCGGGGTTCTGCAGGGGTTGGGTTTGGTCCTGTTTTGTTTGCTTTTTAAACATTTCTTCTTGTTGCTATTATTTTTTTTTTTTTTAATGTGGCTTTTACTTTTATGCTGATGATATTCTACTTTATATGTGTCACGGTTTTGGTTCTGTTTAAGTTATATCTTTGAGTTTTCTTGGTTTTATTTCCATTTTGGGTTTTGTAATGATTTCTGATTGTATTTGTGTTCTTAGGTATTTCTTGTTTGCCCTCTTGTGTCAGTCTCCTTCTCTTAGCTCCCTTCTAGACTCCTCTGTTCATATCTGCTCCCAATCTGCTAATTATCCTGGTCTTTGTTTCTCTCTCCTGCTCAGTCACTGTTGCTGGTTTGTCATCATTTCTTTGCCCCCTTGTTGTGAGTATTCCTGATTTTCAGTATTTTTTGATTTTGTCGATTATGTTTTTGGATTTTTGCTTCTTTTAGCCTTTTTGTTATTAAACTTTTAGGAAACCACTTCAGCTAAAGTCTCTGCATTTGGGGCCTCTTCAAACCTCCACCAACCTGACAATATGACTTTTGAGTTAAGCCTGCCCTCCATTGTCCATTGTCTGTCTATGATCCATAAATGGCTTTAAAGCAATTACATATGTTTTAACCAAAACACTGAAACAATAATTATAGTGCCAAAAGATTTCACTTGACAACATGTTTATAAGGAAACCTTTGAAAACAAAAAAATTTGTTTTGCCAGAGAGAGAAAACAGGATTGTTCAAATCTCTTCATATCAGTTTTTAACTTAAAGAGCAATCACAAGGAGGAGGAGGGAACTTTCTAACCTGTAGCGTTCCAGAGGAGTCGGTTTGGTTTGTTGTTTGCTTTTTATATTCTTCACTTAAATCTTTAGATTTTATTTCTTATCATTCTTATACTAATGTTATACAGCTTTATCTGTATTTTAAGCCATATCCGCAGTTAATGATGTCCACCTTTGTTCACCATCTATGACCTGTAATTAGCTTTCCAGTTATTACCTTTGTTTAAAAACCTAAAACACTGAAACAATGATTATAGTGCCTTCCACACTTTATCCTTAAAGCAGTCAGGCTCTCCCTTCATGTTGCCCAACTCTGAAGTCCGGTATCTGAAATCTTGGTCTAACCTTAAATTCACGACCTCTCCAAAGCATACTAATGGTAGCAGCCAGACTTTAGAAGGATTCCAGCATTCCCATTTTATTTAGCGTTAAACAACATTGTTAAATATAATGCGCTTTGCTCCCTTCATTCAAAAACTTAGTCATACAGGAGTTCAACACACAGAAGGATCAAACATTTCAGTTTATATCAACAAGGTGGTGGAAGAGTCCCCCTCTACCTCTGTTTTTTATGCCTCTAATGTCTCATTCAGATGTGGAGTGCCACAGGGCTCGATTTTAGGCCCAACAGGTTTTTTTGTTTAGTTTTTTTTTGCATTTGCTGCCCCTTTAGTAAACTTTTCTGTACTATAACATTTAATTTTAGTGTTTTACTGATGAACAGAAAATATATCTGCGTCTAATTTTGGGCAATGTTCACATTTTGTTTTAACGTCTTAAGGATTGGATGTGACTAAATTGTCTAAAGTTTAATAAGCAGCCACCGTCATCAATCTGCTAGATACCTTATTTTGCATAAGCTCAGTTGTTTAATTTTTTTTTTTTTCTAGTTGGGTCTGCTTAGTAAAGTTAAGCCCTATCTAGAGCGTGCCACTCATGCCTTCATTACTGTGGCAAAGATTATTGTAACCTTTTATATTGTGGGCATGTGAGCACATGATTTTTTTTGGCTCTTTTCGTATATATTTGGCTTCCAGGCAGCTACAGGGTTGTTGTTTTTTTTACATCCTGTTTATGGTTTTTAAGTCTCAATGGCCTAGCATTTCTGTCGTTCCATTTCAATCGACCAGTTCAGCCTATCCAGTAACTTTGATTGTGCTGGCATCAAGGCTAAAAGTAGAGGGTATGGAGTATATGCTGTGGTTTTGCAGAGACTCTGGAGTAGCCATAAATATTAAAAACAGCCCAGTCTCTTTGCACTGTTAGGTTGTTTTTAAAAACCTCCCCTTATTTTATTATCTCTTATCATTTTTTGGTATTTTTGTTTATTATTATTTTATGTTGTGTATTTGTTATATTGATGGTAGTGTACAGCACTTTGAACAGAGGTTATAAATGTACCATGTAAATAAAACTGGTACAGATGCCTAATTGACCCTTTGGACTCTTTTAAAAGACAGTAGAAAAAGGGTTTTGTTGCAGTATGCACTCGTTATGTCAGAGGAGACTGTATTAATATATGTTTTTATTCACTTATTTTATTATTATATTTAGTTTTCAACTTGACTTCAGCTTTTTTTTTTTTAAATTGCATTGTAGTCTTTTTATAACCTAGTAGTTTTATTATCATTTTACCTTTTCTTTTCAACTTATAATGAGGAATATGGTTTCTTGTAAGAGGCAGGTAATGTAATTATGGAAAGGTGTCATTATTTGTTGTCAAAATGTTTAAACATGCCTTTTTGGAAACATTTATGTTTGACTGTGTTTGCATCTTATTTTTATCAGTATTTTAATTGCTGTTTCTGTACAGCCTGTTCTGATGGTTCCGAACTGAATGGCGCTTAATAAATACTGCATCTATTATAACAGGAAAATACAGCAACTAATAAGATAACCAGCAGCTTTGAAACATTATAATTTAGCCTATTTCAAATCACAATTCAAAGTTATTTTCATCTACAAAGCATGTTTTAGTGATTATTTTAAAACATAGACACAGAACGAGTTGATATGATGTTCTCTCACTTTTGACGTCATCAAGCTAATAAAATGTGTGGCAGAAGTTTTTTAAGTCATTCTATTTATTTATCAGCTTTATAACAGCAATATCAGCACAGATTAGACTCTATATTCACCAGATTCCTTAAAGATGATTCCTCCGGCTCTCCTTGGATTAAATGGCTCAATAGTCATTTTTAAATTCCATGTTTAAATTAAATGTTTTACGGCTTCTTCAAAAGATGCAACACTACGTGAAATAACGTCAACAATCTGTGAAAGGAGGATTCGGTGAAATCATTGTTTCCATCTGTTTGCGTGACATAAAACTGGGTAGGTTGGAAACACCCATTCTTAATGGTTTTAAAAGGATCCGTATGACGGATTCACATTTTTAACGGCCTGAAAAATAAAACTGAACCAAACTTATTGCCCAACAAACTCTTCTAGAGACAGAAATAATCTGATATTTAAATAAAAAGAATCCCTCTTATTAGATAGAAGTACATTTTCAGAATGCTTAGAACAACTAAGCTCATGTTATTATGTTTTAAGAGCTGAAAATGGCTACAAGTTCAGAGTCCAAATCTCATAAAACAATAAAGCAAAATATGCAACCTTGATCATTAAACCTAAGCAATGAGATTATAAGATAGAAAGTTAGAAACTATTAGCCTTATTTAGTCATCAAAGGGAAGAGAAGCAACATTTATACAAGGATTTAGGCCCTGATGAGAAAGAAAAAGGAAACTAACAGAGAGGAAGGCTCTTCCCTGTCCTGAAATGTGAGGAAAGCAGGTCTCCTTCTCATTAAATTTAATTATAAAGCGTAAAAACGGCTCAGATAAAAGAAATAAAGAACCTAAAAACATTTCATGTTCAAAGCGAAAGGTAAACAAAGGAATAAAGCAGCCTACCTTGAAGAACCGTGAAGCTAAATGTCATACGGGCCGGTTTCAGCAGAGAGAAGGAGAGATGCAGAGCTGCATCGAATTTCACTGCCACAGGTTAAAGTCCAAGATGAGAGTGACGCTGAGTGTGTAGGAAGGGTGTGTGTGCATGAGCAAGGAACATGATTAATATAAGATAAGAGCTGGAGAAAATAGATTACATTTTATTAAGGAAATTCTTAACAAAGCTTTAATGCATGTGTTTAACACACCCTTATATGTTCCAGGAATCAATATATTCCCCCTTAATGGAGGTGAACTTAGGAGCAAACACTGGAAAAAAATTCAAATCTAGCTATGTCAATTATTCTTAAAATAAGTGCATTTGTTCTCGATTTGAGAAGGTTAAAGAGACGTTTTGCCAATGGAGCAAGACAATTGCCATTTTAAATAAGAAAACACAATATCATTGTCTTATTTGAAGTGCATTTTATCTAAATATTTTGTTTTATTTATTTAATAATTAAAAAATATTAATAAATAAATAAATAACAAGAGTAGAAATGCTAATTCCATTGGCAGATCATCTTATTTACCTACTCAAATTAAGGGTAAATACAATTCATTTGAGAAATTTTTACTTATTTCTAGTTTTTTTTTCTTATGCAGAAGGTCTCCAGTAATGTAAATCAGAATATTTATCTGGCCAGATTCTCTTTTATGAGTAGAAAAATACATTTTTTGCACTTTTGGAATTGTGCCAAAATCCCATTTCCTCCTAGCTCACTGCTCACTAAAACCTTTGTAGAACAAACATGCTTCAACTTATTCAGTCCAAATGTGCTTGAGTTATAGTCCAGATGTGGATCTATGAAGTTTGAGGTTCATCCAGAGTTTCTAATGGGCTTTTATGGTGTTTTGCAGAGTTTATTAAAAAAAAAAAATTGGCGAGGCAAAATATTTTTTGTTTAATCCCCTATAAAAAAGACATGATGACATTTAAAATAATGGTTACATCTGAAAAATATTCCTCAATGCCTTTCTGTCACACAAATACAAACAATTGCATTTCCAATTTATAGTTTGAGAGCTGTGCTTGCTTTAATTCACAGATGTAATTTCAGGTGGAATTTGCTCCTAAGACCCTCATGGCTTAAGGGGTTAATTTATTTGAAACAGAACTTTGTCAAGAAAATTTGTGAAACCGACTAAATCTAAAAAAAAAGAAATCATGTCCAGCTGAAAACTATTGATCCATTGTCTGTAATAATTATTCTTGTAGGGCTGCGGTTGGGCTGGTTTCCAGCGGTCACTGGGTGAGGCGCACAGTCTGGACAGGATGCTGGTCCGTCACAGACACACCACACAGACAACCTTGTTTGCACACATTTAACCAGTTTAAAGGAAACAAATTAACACCATTTTTTTGAGGACTATGAGTTGCAAGCGGTGTAAATAAAAGTTAGTGGAAGGAAGAAATTCTGAAACCCGCAGTGCACAATAACATGAAATGTAAGAAACAATTCATCAACATGCTGACAAATGTTGTCTTACATCCCAATTTACCAAGAATTGGG